GTCCTCTCCAGTCCTTTAAACCTCAAATACGTCCTCTCCAGCCCTTTAAACCTCAAATACGTCCTCTCCAGTCCGGACCGGCCTCCGTCCCGGGTGCAGCCCTCACTTCCTCAACTCCCCTGTCCTCCCGGTCCTCAATCCACTGCAACTGTCCCCTCTTTGCCTGCCAGTGGTATCAGAAGCCTCCCTCCCTTGCTCCCTCTCCTGGACACCCTTTCTTGGCTTCTTCCTAGGTGAGAAGTGTGGGGTCAGGCTAAAAATGTGGCCTCTGGAATGACGGAGGTGACAGAACCTCCCTCATAGGGTGTTGCTGGGAGGATGGAATGAATCAGCAAACACAGAGCAGGCGGGCAGTGCCTGGCACACTGTGCCTGTGGGGCAGCGATGACCGTGGGCTCAAGGCTCCCCCTGCATTGGCCTCCTGACCTCTCCGTCTCAGCTCACACCACCCCCTCACTCTCTGCTCTGCTCCGGCCTCCCTGGCCCTCAGGCACTCTAAGGTCTCTTCTCCTGAGATACCTGCTGGTTGATCTACCACCTAAACGCCAGCGTCACCTGCTGCCACCCCTAATCCCCCACAAGGCTGGCTCTTCTGTGAGACTCAAGTCTCAGCTGAACTAGTACCTTGGAAAGGTCTTCCCCGCACTCCCCCGTCTAAGATCCCAACCCCAGCACATTATATTGGCCTACTGAATGCCCAGCTCCTGTCACCATCAGAAATTACCGTTCCTGCGTTCACCAGGTCACTGCTGCTCCCTAAGCTCTCCCCCACACACTCTAGAAAGCCACTTCCCTGAGTCCAGGGCCCCGTGGCTGTCCCGTTCACCAATGACCTTCTCGGCCCAAGAACAATGCACTACTCACAGCAGGCATTCAACAAACATGCACAGGAAGAGAGAGGCGAGGAAAGGATCCCCTACTAAAGCAGGCATCTAAAAACTTTTGCAAAACATGACTTTTAAACAGAAAACATGACTTTAACCAGGGCTGGTCGCAGTGGCTCACACCTGTAATCTTAGCATTTTTGGAGGCCGAGGCAGGCAGATCATGAGGTCAGGAGTTGGAGACCAGCCTGGCCAACACGGTGAAACCCCGTCTCTACTAAAAATACAAAAATTAGCCGGGTGTGGTGGCAGGTGCCTGTAATCCCAGCCACTCAGGAGGCCGAGGAATGAGAATCACTTGAACCAGGGAGGCGGAGGCTGCAGTGAGCCGAGGCCACGCCATTGCACTCCAGCCTGGGCAACAGAGCAAAACACTGTCTCAAAAAAAAACAAAACCCAGAAAACAAAAAACAAATGGAAAAGAGGCTTCAGACAGGAATGTGGCTGTTGCCTATGACACGTGCTCGTGAGGACAGGTGACTGCTGACGCACTGGTAGCCCCAGGCCTGCCCATGCCCAGCCTCACCTTCTCGCCACTGTCTCGCAGCTGCTGCAGCTGCTGTAACTGTCGCAGCCGGCGTCCCTTCTCCAGCTGCTTCTGCAGCTCCAGCTCCGCCTCGTCCTCCTCCAGCACCTGCGGGGACCCCGGCTGTGGAGCTCCACCTTCCTCTGGGGGATACACAGGGGATGCCTGCTCAGACAATCTCCTCCAACCCGGGGCTCCTGTCCCTGCCCCCTCCCACCCCCTGGCCAGGCCCTCACCCTCATCACTGATGTCCATGTTCTCCACTCGGGTGTCATCTGACGGCAGGGGCTGAGGCACGGGCTCCTTCTCCTCCTCCACCTCGGACACTCGGCGGCGACCCCGTCCCCGCAGTCTGAGGGAAGGAGGCCTCTCTGGTGAGCACCGGCCCCCGGGACACCCCAGCCCAGCCCTCTCACCCCACCATGGTGTCCAAGCCCACCTGGAACCAAAGTCCCCATCCTGAGTCTGGTCCCCGAGAGGCAACAGGTCATCCGCCCGCACTACGACCTCCTTCTCCTTCTTGCGGATTTTCCTCACCCTCCGCTTGGTCCTTCTAAAGGCCACCTGAGGGGAAGAGGGAGGCGTGGGGTGGGGCGGGGAAAGGCAGGCCGCCACAAGCCCGCGAGGATGAACACTTCTTTGGTGTTCTTCTGTGCTAGCCAGTGTCCTGAGCACTTCTCACACAAGCAACACGTGGGGTGGTTACTATCTCCATTCCACTGGTGAGCTAGGGAAACTGCGGCACAGAGAGGTTAAGTACCTTCCCCAAGGTCGCCCAGCTCCTAGGTGGGAAAGCCGGGCAGTCTGGCTCCAGAGTCCTGCTCTTACCCACTGAGCAAGACACCTACTACACCAGCTGACTACCTCACGTTCACACAGTCACTCTGCGGACAGAATCCACGCACACCTTTCCAGTCACCCCTCACCCACACTGTCACTCATCCTCACAGCAACCTCAGGAGGTGGCTCCTATCACTGCCACTCCAGATGGGGCGCCCCAGGCTCACAGTTAAATGGCTTACCCACGGCACAAGCTGGCAGTATGGCAGAGCAGAAACACCAACTGGGGCCCATCTGGCTCAGCAGCCCTCACCCGTCAACACCTGGTGCCTCCCCAGGTTGCCATTTACTGCTTGCCCACGAGGCCAAGCGCTTTGTGAACACAAATACTTGCCCTCTCTTCCCAGTGCCTGCGGGCAGCGCAGGAGCCTCAAGGGGAGGGAGAATCATGACCCCGAGTACAAGGCGCAAGAGGGCTCACCATCTCCTCGGGTGTGAGGTACTCGGAGGCCAGCCGGGGCCCCACCGTGCTCAGGGACTGAGCCTGCAGCCGCAGCTTGGCCCGGATCTCCTCCAACTCCCGTTCCCGCAGGCCATCGGCCATGCCCCCCTGCTCCAAGCGGAAGGAATGCGGCTGCTCCCCCTCAAGCTCTTCGTCGTACTTGGACAGGATAGAGCGAGGTTTTTGCTGCAAGGTAAGAGGTACAGGTTGGGACCCAGGGTGGCTCCTGAAAAGCCACTGAGCCACCACCTCCTCAGAGCCCCTATTCCCGACATTCTCCACCCCAGCGCCCGCCGCCCAGCCTGCTTGGGCCGTGCCTGCGCCAGGTCGTCCACACTCTCGTCCTCGGCATAAGGCAGGTAGTCGGGCTTCTTCTTCCGCAGCTCCACATTCTTCTCCGCCCGCTCCTTATCCACCAGGTTCACGTTCACCAGCACGTCCTCCTCCTCCTGCAGCACGCCTGCGGGCAGCACAGAGCAGCGGCCATTCACACTTGTCCGCAACGCAGCAGAGGCTGTGCCCCGACCCAAGGCACCCAGCTCGCATCACCTTTGTCCTTAAGGGTGAGGATCATGGTCTCCCCTTCTCGGAAGGAATCAATGGCATGCTCCACAGTGAGGCCCTGCAGGTCCCGGGCACTGTACAGGTCCTAACAGAAGAATCAGGCGCGTAAAGAACCTCCCTCCATGCGCCCAACCTTGGGATTCCAGCATCAAGGCCGCCAGTGTGCCCTGCACCACCCACCCCGGCTGCCGCAGCCTCACCTGCCGTCTCTGCCCAAACTCCTCCTCTACCAGAGTGCTGACACCAAACTCTTGGTCCATCTCCTCCAGTAACTTTGCCTATGGGACAGGGAGGGGTGACCTAGGACCTCAGGCCACTCAGCACCACCAGAAAACACTCAGGGCTCTACCAAGCGGAGTGCAAAAAGAGCAGGCCTTGCAGGAAAGTTGCTGAGAATCCAAAGCGGATGCTACCAACCACAGCCCATCCCCTCTCCGAACCCCGTCTCACCTCTCTGGGGTCGACCACTGCCTCAGTGCCCAGTCAGGCCAGCAAAAGCACTGGGCAACCACCCCATGCTGCCCAGGTGCTCACCCTCTTCTCTGCCAGGTCTTTCTCCTTCTGCAGCTGCCGGCTCCTCTCGATCCAGGCTGCAGTGTCGTCCAGCCAGGGATCATCCTCTCCTAGGGTCTTTATCTTCCTGAAGAGGGGAGAAAGTGATGCTCGAGGAGCCCAGCTCCTGCTCCCAACCCCACTCAAAAGGCAGCCAAGGATGGTGGCCTCCCCAGCCCTTCCCTTGCCTGCCCTGGCCAGGACCCCTCACCCCAGCTTTTGGTTCAGCAGGCGCTTCTCCTTGGCAGCCGCCAGCTTCTCCCGCAGCTCCTCTCGCTGTCGCAAGGCCATAGGATTGATGACATCGGCTGTCACGGGCTCCTCCTTGGTGCCCGCCTCTGGAAGGGGGGCCCAGACGTGAGGCTATGCCCGCCCATGGCTGGTGGGGAGAGGAGGGAGCCACTCACCCTGCCCCCTTCCAGCTCAGGGGGCCAGAAGGGGTCAGGACAGGAAGGAACAATCCTTCACCTCCCTGCTCCCACTTCGTCCCCACACTCCTGGCCAACCCATGCAGCACGACAGGACCCTCTGTGGCTTCCAAAGCTCCTCAAATTGTGCTTTAAAGAAAAACAACAGACCCACCCCCGCACAGCCCAGTTTGCAGCAAGCGTGCACATCTTCCAGTCCATCTAACAACACCTCACAGCCAGAGTGAGTATGTGACGGGCACGGCTCTAACTCAGAAAACAAGCAGAGCCCCAGGTCCACATTATAACAGCAAGAAGGGACCTCGTGCCTTCCGGCAAATATGCATGTGTAAGACCACTAAACCATGCTGAACCTGCCCTCTAATCCCACCTTCTTCAAAGACCCCTTCAGATGGCCCTCTCCCCCAAACCCCATCCTCAGCCCCACACTCACCCTTCTTGATGGCATTGACCTCCAAGGGTTTCAGCCCCAACTTTGCCCGGAGTTTACTGAGAACAAGAGATACAAGTGTTAGGGGCTATCAAAGGATACAAGTGTTAGGGGCTATCAAAGACACAGGGCGCCATGTGCATTTCCAAACAGACAGGAGAAGAAACAGGGTGGGAGTGAGCGGTCCCAAACACACGGTCTGCCCCAGGAAGCCTAGGACACTGGGAAGGGCTCTGGCCTCCAAAGCAGGAAACATGGGCGCCAGCCTGGTCTGCATCTAACCGGTGAATGCCACTTTACTCTTAGGTATTAGTTTCCTCTTCTATAACTCTACTGTTGGCTAAGATGATTTATACAACCTTTCCAACTCCAATTAGCACACTTTCGTGTGAGAAAGCCTCCCCAGGGCTGGCCCCAGAGCCACCTAGCTTAGAAAAACAAAGTGGAAACAAGGGAGACAATACTCACTTGGTCTCCTCAATGCTGAGTGAGGAGGCATCGCCTGAGCTAGTTTTGGAGCTGGCAGCTGGAAGAAGAAGAAGCATGGCTCAGGAGCTGAACATAGGGCCAACAAGCCAGCATCACTGCCTCCAACTGCAGGATCAAAGATGAGGGCCCCTCACCAGCACCTGGGCCTGATGAAACACCAGAAAACAGCAGCTTCTTCCACCCAAGCTCCCCAGCAGCTCCTCTGCCCGAGTCCAGTCTCAGAGCCCTGCCTCTTCTGC